GTGTGTGTGTGTGTGTGTGTGTGTGTGTGTGTGTGTGTGTGTGTGTGTTTTAAAGGCATAGCATTGGTCTCCCATTTTATAATTGTAGTCTGTTTAAAACTGCGGGTGTCTGCATTTGTGTGAACACCTCTTGTCTTTGTTTTCCTCCTGGCGGTGTACATTAGATTACTGTCTTAGCTAATTGCAGACAGTATTAGCAGCACTGCTCGGCCAAACTACAGCTGACRTTCTCTCAGAAGCTCTCTGTCTGCAACCCGTGGGCATCGGTGCGTTCTTTTTGTACTKTCCCTTCGACTCTTTCTTCCTCACGTCACTCTCACTTCATCCCTGCTGTCTGTCATCCAATTTGGTCTCTGAGATCTATTTTATTTCATCATGAATGTTTTTGATGTATATCTGCCTAATTTGCTGCAGCGAGGCGGATTTTTTTTTTCTATCAACCTTGGTTTCTGCAGTAAAAACAGAAATTGCTGCATATTTCCTTATGTGACACTCTTCCAAATATGAAGCATAAGCTTTTTTTTTTTTATACTGAACGTAAGTCTTCACCTTCATATTTATTCTAATGTGTGCCTATAGGGGGGAAATGTCAAGAAATGAGCAGGACAGGCCTGTCTATAAGTGCATTTATGAGATGTATTTTGAAAAAGCCTAGATGAGGCTGGTTTCATCTGTTCATCTACAACTCAGTGGAAGTTTGAGAACATGTAGCTTCAGTTTAGTTGTAATACTGTATGCTATTTTAGCCAAACAAGTTAAGAATAATAATAAAAAATCTGTTTTTTATGTRAATAATCAGGTGAGACATCAGTGTTGAAGCAGGGACATTTATATTTTTTATATGCTTCAGGATGTTATCAGACAAGTTCGAAGCTATGCAGTGGCAGTAAATGATAAAAAAAAATATTTTAATAATATTATATTTTAACTTCAGAAAGCACTGTGTTCAGTTGATGTAAAACTCAGAAGAAGAACTAATGCTTCTTACCATTTTGTACTGAATTTAGATTAAATGCTAAATTAATTTCAGAGTTRTATTTTGGGCAATACAAGGCTGAAAGGAGGACGGCTGGTAAAAGATTTAGGTGACAAAAAAAGTCCACAGTGCATTAAAAGCAGCCACCTTATGAGATCACAAACCAAAAGAGACACAATTTGAGGAAAGCTTCATTAAAGTAAAATGTTTTTGTGCTTCAACAAATCTAAATAATTCCGTTTTTGACACCATCTAGTGTCTACATCCTCAGTAAGCACAATTAGCCTGATTAATTTACCAAAATATGAATGTATGGTCCGCTTTGTCAGTGGGCACAGTTAGGGACAGGTGGGACATGAACCCCACTCCACTGTCCCTACATAGGCGAGAAAAATCAGATTAAAACTGATGATTAATGTTCTGTCAGAACTATTTATGTTTCAGCRTCCAGTGAGACGACACCATATGTGTCCTATGACTAATGGTGTGTTCAGGATTTAGTCCCAAATCCAGGTTTTATTTTATGGTTGCTTAAACTGCAATCATGAAGTTTGGTCTATGCTGACATCTGAAATTATAATAAAACTTTTGCACATTGTTTAAATCTGATATTTTTGCTTTTTATTGCCATATTCTCAAAACAAGTAGTGCTAATTATGTGCCAGAGCAGTCACATTCATTAACTTAAGCAGGCGTGAATGATTTGAACTATTTTTGCATCAGATCCTCAATGCACCATCTAACTATGACTGTCTGCCCCAAACACAGCAGGGATAGAAAAGGGAAAAATGTTTTCTCACAGCGAGATAAAGGTCATAACGAATAAACTACAACAGTGCTCCATTACATTGAATATTTCACTATATGAAAGAAAAAATGTTTGGGATGGCATTTCCAAATAAATAAGTGACGCTTTGTGGACGTTTAAGGATCTTTGCATTATTTTTTTGTTGTTTTTTACTTAAAAAGGCAGCAGTGTAGCAAATTGCTCCTCTTCCTGGTGCTTCTCCTGAAACGCAAATACCACCAGCTCCTCGGAGACAGTACTTTTTTAAATTTTATTTTAGGAGTTGGACACCTTTTGCCCAATTGGTAATTTACATAAATATAGACATTTTCTGTATAATATCATTTATATACATTTTAGCTGGCAGTGTTGTTAAAGGCACACATCTTCTTTGCAAGGATTTCGAGATTCAGTCCAGTCCTGTTGTTGAATCTGGGCTTCTATACTTTTCCAATTCACAAATGGCTTCATAAAATGCTACAGAAAGACATTTCTTTATGCTAAAGTTGGGTTTCTGTGCTAAAATCCCCACTGGCATCACTAATAAATGCAGAATCAATTAGCAAAAACATTCATACTGTATGTTTTCAACAAACCGGGTGGAAGAAAAATATTCTAATTAATGGCTTCTTCTTTTTTTCAAAGACAAATTTGGAACTGCAGTATCAGTATGATGCCATTGGAAGTCATTTTGATGATATTTAAGTGCAAACATTTGGATTATGGCAGATTTTAGTGTCTAGATTTAAGGTTAAATTGATTTTATGCCTCACATGGTCAAGGTGTCTCTTAAGTCTTTATATTTGTTTTGCCTTAGGTTTACCCTCAAGCATTTTCATAGAAACATTTGCACACACTCAAACACAAACCCACATGTTTGTCACATAAAAGCATGTATAAGAAAAAGGTGTCACCAAAAAAAAAGTAAAAAAGAGTCATGAAAAAGATGCCTGGGGCAATCCACTAATTACGAAACGTGGTGCTGTGATGGATGTGTGCAAAAAGACACATTTAAACACGATGCAATAAAATACACGTCATATATTCAGGCATATGTTTTACATATGTGTTTATATTTCATGTATTAAAAGCTTTATAATTTCATTAATCAACATTAAAAAGAAAACGTATCTATGAGTTGTTTGAATTGCCTTAAATCTTTCTTTTGACATTTAAGCTCCGCTAAGTTTCCCTGCAGCCCACATTGAATCATTAGACCTGCTGAAGATACTGTTGTTTTTGGAGACAGGTTGTAATAAGACCATTGTGTCCGGATGGAAAGCCCTGGCCCCAAAACAACTGTTGTGCTCTTCTCTCTTTTTGACATTTTCATCAAGCTGCTGTGTGGCATTTCTGTACTTTCAAGAGTCTCAGAGAGAAAATAAATAAATAAATAAAAAAATGGGTCTGCAGTTTTTCAACACCCCTGCAAAACCAGAGTCTTTACCATTTGCTGCAAATGAAACAGAAGACAACTAATGCGGGTACAAATGAAGCGAGCATTTAACCTCAAGGTTTTATCTTGGTTTGTAAGCATTGCTTTGCTTTATGAATAAACTGTCAGTGATGAAGTAATCCTCTTAAGTGGCTCTTTGCGGCATGTGAAGGGCAAATGGAAAGAGCTTCCCGGTGGGATCAATAAAGTATCATATTACTGTAAAACACATGGTTCATAGGTTCTTTCTATGATGCATACACTGAGCCAGCAGCTGAGCTGCAGGTGTCATTAAATTGTGATCGTTGTGTCGGTATAATGCAGTCACAACAATGTTGTAGCCCTCTGCACATTACGTTTTGGGCACAACATGCCTAATCGCTATTACAAACATGAATATGCACAGAGTGGCATTTATCCTGTCATTTATTACACATACACTCTACAAACCACTTGAGCTATATCTGTGTTGATGATGAGAGTTGCGTGTGTGACACATTCAAACAGACACGCTGCTTTCACAGACACACACGGCAAACCGTGACGGTTCTCCTGTGAAAGTGGTTTGGGTTGGGGGCACAAACAGCTTAGCCATGTCGTGGAAATGACTTGCTAACAGATGCCAGGCTCTGACTGAGATACAACATCCTGCAGGCAATGTTTAGAATAGAATGAATCCCTTTATTCGGTTTTCTTTTCTCATCTCTCTTTCATGTTGTTCCCCCTCTTGATGCTTTGTCACTTAGCTGTGGGAGGGCATGGCTGACAAAAAAAAGGAAAATGACCACTGATTTTGATTCATGGCTCCATGTCAGGGTTCATCCAGGGTTGTCATGTTTGGAACAAGTTGCTTRTTGAAAAAAAATCAAAAGCAAAACTATTGATTGATGTTGTGTTCTTTGTTTGTCTCTCTTTGTGTATTTAGGATGGTAGAATACTCACTGGACCTGCAGAACATCAACCTGTCGGCCATTCGAACAGTTCGAGTTCTTCGACCGCTGAAAGCCATCAACAGAGTCCCAAGTGAGAGCAATTTCACTGTTGTAYATGGTTTTAAAGCAAAATCATCAAAGTTGTTTTTTACTTTGTTGACAATGTTGATAAAATAATAGGTAGTTTATTTAAAGCCAAAGTTTGTAGTGGATTATAGGGTGCCAATGTGATTATTTAGCTCACGTTGAGTGTAAAATCCTAGTTTAAACATTTCTACTAACATTTTATTGTTATGTAGTTCTTACATTTTGCTAATTTTTACCAAATGTTAAATTTAAATGTTAAATGTAGCATGTGAATACTAAATCCTAAATCTAAATGTGTAAATCAAAATGTAAAAGTTTAATTTTAAAYGGTGTAGCTAAATGATAAAGCCTACATTTAAGAGAATTGGAATGGAATGCGGCCTTTATCGTTGGTGTGTGACTTTGTGACGTTGTGATGTCATCATCCTGCGACAAAAGCACACGCTAACACTACTGAAAATGGCATTTCAAATCCAAATTCAAAATGTGTTCATTGAAAACAATATGGGTGGCACTTGTGGATGTTTGATGTCTGGTTAGCAGCATTAGCAGCGTTTGCAGCATTAGCAGCATTTGCAGCATTAGCAGCAGCATTTGCTTTTGTCGCAGGATGATGGCATCATAACAAAGTGCGTGCACCAATGGTAAAGGCTGTGTTCCATTCCGAAACACTAAAATGTAAACTTCAACACATTTACGTTTACATTTACGCATTTAGGTTTTAAATTTAACATTTAGACATAAAATTATAATTAAATGTTTCATAAAAAGTAGCAAAAGAGTGAGATAAATAACATTGTGAATGTTTTAACTGGGATTTTTACACRCAGAAAGTGAGCTAACTAATAAAAATGTTTTATTTTTTAACATTTTATTTTACACTCACCTCATMGTAGATTTTTCTTTATGCTAAGATGGACAACTATTAACCAGTGATTACTGCTTCACAGAGTCCCATAATAGAAGGTCTGCATTWTACATTTATGTTTAATTCCAGCTACTGTGGATTCTCTCTCGGATCATCACCACAGTTTGTGTTTTAGTCTCTGTGTTATCTATGCAGCCTGTCACTTCACATAAACTAAAATGCTTTTGTCTGCAAGTTCATGCAGATGAATTTCATTTGTGTCCATTTCCATTTTGTAAAAGTGTTTCTGTCTTTTTTCCTGCATCCTCATGCCCACCTTTTCCTGGCAGGCATGATTAAACTTTCATTTAATGCTTAATCACAAAGTCAGCTCAAACCGTGGGTCACAGCTTTATCAGATTTCCAAACCACCCATTAATGCTGCTTCATTGCTCAGAGTGTGACCAAATCCCCATTCCTCTCATCTAAAGCTCAGTTCTTGGGCAAACTTTCTGACTTCCATTGATTTATTTGTCCTGCTGCAGTAATTGGCTGCTCCCAATCATTGAAATCAGCAAATTAGCCTGATTGTGCAAGGTTTAGGTTGGTGTCATGGCACTTGCACACACACACACACACACACACACACACACACGCGTGCGCGCACACACACACACACAT